TCCCCCGCCCGCCGGGCCATGCGGGAGGTCGCCGCCTGGATCAACCAGACCTCGGCAGCGGGCTGCAGCGGCTTCCTGCCCCCGGGGCGCAGCTGGGCTCCCGGGGTGCTCTACGAACTGCTGAGCGCCAAGACGGAGCGCGACTGCACCGCCGCCCTGGGCTTCGCCATGCACGAGCTCAGCCTCGTGCGGGTGGAGCAGCACTCCCAAGCCTTGCTGCAGCCCCAGCAGCGCGGCAGCCGGCTGGTGGAGGAGCTCTACTTGGGGGACATTCACACCGAGTGGGTGGAGAGGCTCCACTACCGGCCGACCGGTTATCAGCGACCTCTGCAGAACGCTGTGGTAAGAGTGATGCTTTTCTTTTTTTGGTAAGAACGATGGTTTCGTGGTAAGACCGATGCTTTTACGGGGTCCCTGTTGCAAAGAGAGGCATGGCTCACCCCGAGGAAAGGCAGAGCCTGCACCGAAGTCAGCGAAAGCGCTGGGCTGCACGGTGTGAGGGGCCGCTCGGATGCCTTGCGTCCCTCCCGTTATGTCGCTGTCGTGTCCTTCCGGCTTAGAGAGGAGTGAGGAAGCCAGCATCTCTCCTCAAATCGTTATTCCTCAATGTAATGCCGTTAGAAGAGGAAGTTGCCCTGAATACAGTTATGCTATTATGCAGAAATCAGACGTTCACTTTGACATATATGAAACTGAGCAAGAGACTTGGATGCTTTTTCTTTTCTTTTTCTTTTCCCTTTTCTTTTTCTTGCCCGTAGGTTGGTTTGTTTCCAGAAAAACATATTTTTATCTGAATCTTAACTGATCAATTCAGAAAGAACTGAGTAGTGAGACAGGGTGAAAAACCTCTCTGAACATTACCGGAGTTAAAAGGAAAAAGCTCTTTTGGGGGGCAGCTTTTGGGGGGGGGTAACATTTCCCCACACCCCAGACTACACCCAGTGAACTCTGAAAGAGGAGAAGAGCAGCACAGAGCAGCACCTCGCTCCCCCTCAGACGAACCATGCTCAGATTGGTTAAACTTGTGTTATCTCGGGCCAAAACCATATATATGAGCAAGACCAGATGGTAAACATAAACACTTTTAAAAGTTAATTTAAGACCAAACCTAAAGATACTGAAATTCACTCTCTGGATACAGCACTGTAATTAATCAGCTAACAGCTCTCCAATGTACCAGCACATGATGTCACCACTTGGCGATAATTAGAAGCTGCCATGCATTAGAAATAACTTCACACGACTGGTTTAAGCAAGTAAGATTTTTGGCTTCATGACTATAGTGATAATTTTATTGGGCAGAGGGTTTTTGTTTTGTTTTGTTTTCTTTTTATTACTTAACTAATAGCCAGTTGCCTGCACTAGCAAGAAAGTTACACAGCTATGTTAGGAATTATTTTTTAACGCGCTTTAAGAAAATATTGCTCTTATTCCCTTAAATCTGTATCTGTTTTGAAGAAACCCATTCTCCCCAAATTACCTTTCATTATCAAAGAATTTCCTGTCTAAGGAGAGCATATATATTTGCCAACTTCTGGGATTATTTAGCCATACTGTACTGTGCACTGTCAGCACTCATTACCGTGACAGTAGCAGTAAAGCAAGCTGAAAATGACTAAATTACAGTAGACTCCAATCAACTGGCAGGTAAATTACCCACCCTACAGTAACTACTGAGTTATTTAACCTTGCTGCATACAACAGTTCAGTCAAGATCAGCTCTTATTCCGGAAAATGATACAATATTTGAACCCTGGTTATTTAAAAATAAATCAGTTGTGATATATGAAGTATAAGAAAAAGTTCTGAGCTAGACCAAAAAAACCCAACAAACTTCTGGCATTTGATCAGCCGCAGGACTGCTTTGGCTCAGTGCTCTGTGCAAAGCCCAGGCAGGCAACCAAAGGTCGGGTCCTGGTTTTGCAGGAGGATTTTCCTCTCCGTCTCCGAGGCGATGTCCGTGCTGGCGCTTCGGGCGAGCCTGCTGCCTCGCTCCCACCTGCGTCCTCCCCGTGCGCCCAGGGTGGCAAAGAGCCCGGGCGGCTCCTTCTCGTGCTTGATCTGCTTGGATGTCTTGGGCCAAGGTCATTGCAGATGAACACCTTGGTGGGGGAGAGGGCCGTTTTGAGCCTTTTAAAACACTCTGAAAGGGTTTTTTGCATGTCCGCTGACAACAATACTATTTTTTGCCTTCCGCAGCACCATGTGCATCCTTGCCCGGCCTGTGGGATTATATACAGAGCTGATGAACACCATCCACCCATATTACCCGTCAGAGCTGAGCTGCCGATGCAGCTGAGCGGCAGCTGGGTGAGCACCCGCTGCGAGGTCCGGCCTGCCGTGCTTTTCCTTACCAGGTACTTCATATTTCACGGTAGCAATCACACCTGGGAAGGTTATTACTATCACTACTCCGACCCCCTCTGCAAGCAGCCGACTTTCACCATCTACGCGTCTGGGCATTACACCCAAGGCATCCCCTCCTCCAAAGTGAGAGGCGGCACTGAACTGGCTTTTAAAGTCACCCAGGCTCGGGTGACGCCGATGGACCAGGTGACAGTGATGATGCTCAACTCCTCGGAGCCGGGAAGCTGCGGGCTGACAAACTCTTGGCGCGCTGGGATGGAGCAGGATATAACACCCACAAATGGATGTTTGGCTTTGGGCATCAAGCTGCCCCACACGGAGTACGAACTTTTCAAAACAGAGCAAGATGCCAAAGACCGCAGCTTGCTGTTCATTGGCGAAAGGCCCACGGATGGATCCAGCCCCGACCGTCCGGACAAGCGACCCACGTCGTATCAGGCACCTCTGATTCAGTGTGCTGGGGCGTCGGAGGAATTCTCTAAATATATTAGTCTGAAATACTTGGGAAAACAGGATGTTAATGGGAAAGAAGCACTAAAACCTTTGCCTGTGGCCTTTTTATTGTTTATAGCACTGCAGTTTTTAAGATGGGACTAGCTATCTATTCAGGTACAGCACAGAATTCAGATAGTCCTGGTGCTAGGGTGATTTTATATCCTTCAAATGAGCACATCTGGAATCAGTTTTACTTAGATTTGGAAACATTAAAAAAAAAAAAAACAGTGAACAAAGCCAAGAAGATATGCCTGACTACATACTGTTTGTCCTGTGGCTTTATTGCCTAATCTTCCCTCTTCTTTGCCTACAAATCTAATGTAGTGACATGGATGCATTGCACATTGCAATAAATAATTTAGCAATAAGAGAGGAAAAAAAGAACTACATCAATTACAGTTGCTACTTTGAGCTTTTGACACTGCTAAGATATAATCAAGAGCTCGATTCAGGTGTAACTCAAACATCCATAGTGTTGGCTGCTGAGTTTCTTTGAGGTTAAGTTCCCTCCCATCATCCTCCTCATTGCTGTTCTTGCAAATTTAGATCTGCAGTGTCAGTCAGCAGCAGACACAGTCAGCGAATGTTCTTGATGAGGGCACAGTTACTCATTCCTTCCTCAGTTTATAGACTTTTCCTGCAGTTTTCATGGGTATTTACACTGACAGAGAACATTACCTGAACAGACTGCTGTGCCTGGCCATGGTCAGGTAGGAAGGTGCAGTGAACGGAAAAGGCCTGTGTGCCCAACTGCTCCCAACCTTCGGCTTCACATAGCTGCAGGCACTGCATCCATGTTGCGTTCTTCTGGCCTTTGCCGTCACTCGTACTGGCCCGCTTTTTGGGAAGGTGGCAGTGGCCACCATGTCGCTGCCTCCCTTGTCCAGCCGGCGAAGGCACCGCGAGGCAGTCGGCGGCTCCTGTTTATCACGTACCTCGCAGAGCTGAAGATCGCTTACAGTGCAAGCCTTCTCAGGCCGTGTATTTTCCGTCTCCTCTTTAGTAAGTGTACTGGCACACAAATTACTAATCCAGCTCTCAATCAAAATGCCACTTCCAGCCACGTTCATGTAAAGATGTTGCACAAATTTGCTGCTAGTGAACAAGGTGTTGAGGAAATACTCTGATCAGACAGCACAGTCAGTCAAGCTGATTTCTAGTGACAGGAAGGACAAAGTAAGAAATTGTATTCCCTTGTCTGCTGCAGCTAAGAAGCATATAACTTACTTGGAAAAGACCTCCTCCCAGTAGCTAAATCCTCTCCAAATAAGCCTATATATCTTACTCGCAAAGGATGTTTTGTTAAAGCAGCTATGCAGTAGCTACCTTCTTAATGCTGTATTTACAAACCTGCAGCTTGTACTTAGATAATTTATGGGTTTTATAACACATAAATACTTTGCGGGATCTGTACATGACAAAATAATTCAAATGAGATACTTATTAAATGCATACAATTGTGATATAAATGTTGTCAGCATATTTGCATGTTCCAGGCATGGTAAAATATTAGTCGTGCACAAAAACAATTCATGCTTCTAAGAGGATACACAGTAAGGCCAAGCTTGGCTAACTCACCTTAAGTTCCCCCTGCAATCAATGGAGAGAGACTTCTCTAGGTGTCAGGTTGAAAGGCAAAATTAGTCTCCTGCCTCCTAGTCCTCTTTCTTCACTCACCATAGCAAAAACTTTTGCAGGTAAAGCAGTCCTGCAAATATCTCCCTCTTTTTCTAAGGGTTGCTGTGTTTCGTTGCCTGCTATTGCATGGAGATCCACAGGCAAACGTTTGAAGAACTGGAAGCGACTATAAGCCACCTGCTGCACTTATCTCCTCTGGGGCCCTGGCAGCAGGCGCTCTACCCACCCATGCTAGCAAGCCAACAAGAATCGGCCAGTTTGCAGGACAGCCAAAAGGGTACCTTTCTCCTGTGACTTGACAGTTGAAGTTTATCTCAGCACGTGAAGTTGTCTTTGCAAAGTCCCTGTTAAAATGCTATGAAGCAAGGGCAAGCCCAGCATAGCGTAGCTGGGTCTCGTACAACCCAGCCATGCAGCAGAGTTGTCTTCCTTCAGCCGACCTGTTTCCTGTCTCTGTGCTAGGACGGTCACTCATTACAGCCTAGACGAAAGGCTGCTGCTATTCAAGTCAGCGACATGCATGGGACATGCATGGGACATGCCTGGCAGCATGCTCAGGACCCAAAGCTGTGCATGGTACGAAGAGGGAAACTGAACTACAGCCCTTCCTTCCCTGTGAACGCCTCACCCAGAGCCTTTTTGTCCTTTGCTCCGCCTCACCCCCTCCAGTATATGTCTCAAAGAAATAAAAAAAGTCATGGAAAAGCTGTTTGCATAAATATCCTAAGTTTTATAGTTCTGTTCACAGTTTTGGGGAAAACATTCCTAAATTACATAGTTGCTCTCCCTAGGAATATCTGCCTTTTCCCAATTTGAATTTGCCTGGCTTTGATGTCCAGTCAGTGATTCCTGTGTTGCGCTTTTCAAGATCAGAGAGAGCTGCAGTGTTGGGTATTTTCTTCAGTGCATGAAGGCACTTCTGCACTGTAATCAAGACGCTACTGAATCTTTGTTAGATAAACTCAGCCAAGTGAACTCTCTCTCTCTCTCTAAGGCATTTTCACACTCCACTAGTCATTTCTGATTCTTTCTTGCATCCATTCCAATTATTCAGTTTCTCTTTTAAAATGCAAATAGCCAAATCACATCCAAAATTCCCAAGTCTCACAGCTGGTATGTACAGAAATACAATCATTTACTGGTAATGATAATTCAAAACAAGAACATGTTCTTATTCATCAGTCTTTTGCCCTGGGAAAAGCTGCACTGGGAGCTCAGGGGGAGTTCTTCCTTGCTGTGGTCCAGGGTATGGATATTTTTGTCATGTGCCCATTTTATCAGTAGCAATTTATGTGTATTTTCACCAGTGATCTGGAACTACGGAATTCTCTTAGGTCCCAGCAGACTTCTTCGGTGAGCATCATTTCATTGCGGTTCTCTTTGAATGACCACTTTTGAGATGTGTGATTATCACAGAGGACCAAGCTTTGCAGGGGTCCAGATACACGCAATTTACTGTAATCCCAAAGAATGCAAAATGGGAAAAAAGGATGCTATGAAGTGACTTGCATTATGCGCCTCCATCACCATTCATCACCTTTTCCATTCCCTTGTTTGGAGGGTGTCAGGCGAGCTGAGCACTTCACCCAGGTAATCGTGTCCTCTTGGCCATTCTCATTGGCAGGGCAGAGATTGCTTCAGGCATCTCCCTTAGAAGTACTGATTCAAGTCTTCTAGACCTACTGAATTTTAAAGTGTTTATTTTTGAATATTAAGCAATGCTAATGAATGACATCACCTTCACAGCCTCTTACATCATCACCAGCAGTTTTGCCCTCTGCATCTTGTAGGGGTCCTTATCCTACCACAGATTTCCCTCTGTACTTCAGCTATTTATCATCCTCTCCAAGCACTCCAACACGTATGCTTTTTCTTTTCCTTTGGCTCTTGCTTTCCTTATTAATTTTCTGCATTTCATAACTCCCATTTTCTGTTGATTGCTGTCCATTTCCCTTTTTCTTATTTGTTTTGTATTACTTCACATCTAATTTTTCCCTTCATTTCATCACGGAACTAGGATGGGCTTTTATTCAAAGTTGTCCCCTTTCTTGATTGCTAAAGTTGTTTTTCTGGCCACTTAATACCTTTCTCTTAGAAAACTGTCAATTCTAATTGACAGTTTTCCATCTAATTTCTTCTTCACTACCAGATTAGATATGAATTTTGCTCAGCGGTGCCCCTTTGAAACACCAATTACATATATTAACCTAGCATGGCTGTATGCGTACCCTGAGTGCAATCAGGTTTCCACAGTACCTGCCAACTTCTAGTCCTGTGACTAATTTATCTTTATCTGACATAACCAAGAAAAAACAGAAAAACTTCATGTTACCTGTCTAACACTGCATTAGGAAAACAGACCTAGGACATGAGCAACAAACACTGAAACTGACTACTAGATTCCTTTCAACTATAAAACAACTACATACCTTTTCATTGTATCTGTGAAGACAATCCAAGAAAGCAGACACACAGGCAAGTAAGAACCAGCTGCAAGAAACAGGCACAAGTGTCCTGGAAAACTCTTCCCCTTAACTTCTAGTATAATACTTTTCAGAAGTTTAATTGTTTTAAAACCCCAAAAGCATAGAAAAAGACAAAATACAATTTTCAAACATTGTGAATGCATATTAGCTTCCTGCAGTGCCTCTGAGCATGAAAGCCTTTCGCACCTTCTTCAGTATCATAAGCTACTCAACCTTTGCAATTTTCTACTTCTCTAGCAGGCATGGAAATTTTAAGCATGGGCTGAGCTTGCGGGACAAACTCATTCTAGGGCTTGACTGCCTCAACAGTTCAATCAAGTTACTTGTTTTTCCAATTATCCATCTTCACACCCCCTATGTTTAAAAAGCCTTAGGATGCATTTTGCGCTCTAAATTTCCCAAACAATTCTTAAACAAAACACATACACACAAAAGTTTTAAAAGGCTTTCGGATAAATTGTTATCACAGAGTGATTCATTTGATAGATGATGTACACTGAATATAAAAGCGTATCATTGACTTTAAACTCCAAAATAACAGACAGCACAGTTTGCATGGCTTTCACTGTCATACCATGGAGAAAATTTTAGAAATCAGTGCAGTGCCTACGGTGTACCTTGCATTTGAGGTGAGTTTAGAGCAGGCAGAGTGGGGCATTTCTGGTGGCTCTCCCACACGTCAGGTGAGCGTCCTGACTCCTGCACTACAGGGCAGGTCCTCCCCTGCTTTAGCAGGAAGCAAAAAAGTCATGTTGGGCCTGAGAAAGAGTGTGACTTTGCAAGGAAAGTACCGTGCGAGAGCTCTGGCATCACAGGATGTCTGTTGTTCAGTGTTGGGCAATCTCTGGAAACTTCCACGCTGGATTCAGCCGTAGCCTGACGGGGAGAGGTGCCAGACGAGGGTCGGGGCATGGCGCACACACAGCAGCAGCACAGGAGAGCTGGAGGCAGAAAGGAGGTGCCTTGACACATTGCTCCAAACTCTCCCGGGAGTGAGAAGGAAGAAGGAACAAATTTGATAAGGCAGGAAACAGAAAGGTGACTTATTATCTAGAATGGGAAAAGGTGTCTGGGACTAGAATTAGACACGATGAGGGACTGGTCCGACAGGCAGCCAGGGTAGAGCCACGAAAAATCACACAGGCCAAAGCCTGGGAAGGTTGTGGGGAAGAGCAAGATTGGAAGAGGAGCCATGGGAGGGAGGAGACTGAGATGGAAGGCAAATAGGCCGCAGAGAAGAAACGCCATTTAAATAGGGTAGGCTGAACCTCAGTTTCTTTGCTGAAGTGCAGTGCTGGAAGAGGGCTGATTTGGATCGACCACAAGAGCTGAAGGAGCAAAGCAGAGATGCTCAGGCAGAACAGATCAGTAAAGAAACTGGACAGGAGCGTGTGTGGCCTTCACAGAAAACTCTTTTGGGCTCCAAACTAAAGCAAAAACTCCTGGCTTCAGTCATGCTTCTGTGTGGCCTCCCAGCAAAACGTGAAAACAGAAGTTGCTGCTCAAGCAGTTCACCACCCAATCAGATACCGAGGTCAAGAAGGGGCGTCCATGCAAGGATGTAATCCATTCAATCCTGACGCACACGGCTTACACGTAGTATCATGATGCCATTTTTGAAGTTCACTTTCTAAAAAAACCTAATTATGCAAAGTCTAAGAGACTGTATTGGATTACGGGAGGTCAGGCTCACAAAAGTTGGGCAGCCTTAAGACACCTTCGGGGCAGCCTTAGCTTGCTTAGATACTACAATGTATTCACACAAAGTGGCCAAATTAAGTGCACAGACAAACTTGGTTTTGCCATTTCCTAACTCCTGAGTGCTTGGCTTTGTACTGACTTAATAAAGTTCTTTTAAAAGTAGTTGTGTATGCATAATTGTGTGGGAATTCTGCCAACTTAAACATGAGGGGTTCAGGAGGCTTTTCTAATCTTGTGAGTTTCTCCACTGAAAGAAAAGATTTGATTAAAAAACCAAAGTATAGCTAAACTGCGGACAATACTTTACTGCAGACTGTTCTTCAGTTCTTCATAGGCACTTTGAAAGCTTGAAAAAGATCACAAAATTAGGAACTTATTTAATAAGAATGAAATGTACTGATGTAGAAACATAAACAGAAATGCCAGATGTATAATGTCAGCTTGTAATACGCAACTTCAATTAATTCTTCTTAATTCACTTGTTTTCTTAACTTCTTTTGTTTTGCCATCTGGAAAAGGCCATTTTCTACTGACAGATCATAGCAGAAAAGATCCAAAGTTCAAGTTTGTTTCAAGGAAAAGCAGCCTTGTTTTTTGCACTCACAAACTCAAGAGTCCTTTCTTGTAGGTCTCACTCACGCAGAAGCTTCAGGATAAACTTAGGCCTAAATTGGGAGGCGACAAGATCTACATGAAAGTTTAGTACTTTTCATGTAGTGGTTTTCAAGTTTTGCTCTTGAAAGTAAAATCTAAAAGCAGTTCTGTAAAAGGAAAGGAAGTCACAGGAAACGGCGGAGTTAATGATACGCATATAGTCATTTTGCAAGTGTATAAACGCATGCTTATTATAATGTTACATGTAAGATTTTCGGCTGGCTCTTACTTGTGTTTTTTAAAATAACAGCCTACATTTATCCAGTAAGAAAAATCAACCCATTAATAAAACAAACAAACTTTATAGTTAAGCAGTTTTGAGTAGTGGAAACACACAATTACTTGGTTCTCTGAAGCTAATCAAAACAAAAGCCAAAAACAGTACAATGAACAGTGTCACTTCTGCATTGACACCCATTAGACAAAGTGATAAAGTACACATGAAGTTGTCAGCATAACAAAGAAACCTTAACTGGATGTGGTCAAATGATCTGCATCGCCCTGCTTTAACAATAAATCCCTTTATTTATATAGCAGTAACAGATGAATTATACCAGCAACTTTATTTTGTTGTCATCTTTTAATCAAGTTAACCTACAGACCAGCTAGGGTTCACTCTGTATGAACAAGCAGCCTTGCTCAGTAGTTGCTTTTCTTTCTAAAACGCCTAAATGTTGTTTTACATAAATATTTTCTAATCAGTAAATTAAATTTATAGGCATGTATCTGATTACAAAGAATAACTTCCCAATACAGTACTGAACTAATCTCACCCCTATACAGATTACTTTCTTCTTTTTATATTAGTGTTTCTGAATCATAAAAAAAAAATCTCAAATATAGACACTGAAATTTGTACAAATGTGTACATTTAAAGACTTAAACATGGAGAAATTTTTGTTATAATTCATCTTCTTTTGAAAAGAGTATAAGGTTAGACGATACCATAGAGTCCATATCCTGAGGAAAACATATACTTGGAATTACAGTAGGATTTTTGACCTGTTCCCTTTGTGGCTAAAGAACATATTAGCAGTATAGAAATCTAAGAATTATTTCTCAAAGATTTTCCAAACATTTTCATTTCTGGATAATCACCAGATACTCCTACTTCAGGCAAACAGCGTGCTGTAACTGCACAGGCCAACTGAGAGCAGCATACAGAACGCATTCATTAACTACCTGTATACAATTTTACGCAGATGAACGAACTACACTCAGTCCTCTTTTTCCTTCCCGTCCCCCAGCTCCTCCATTTTCTGGGAAGCTGTTCTTACACTTTTTTCCTTGAAAACAAATACAGTTCACTCACCACTTGTCCGCTCTCAACGTGCTCGCTTGAGGATTGGAGTAAGGATGCCGACCCATTCTGAAATGGCATGAAAAAGTGACTCTCCAACCTCAAGCACCTTTAGTGCTGCCGTGAAGTGCTATTGTAGCTGTAACATAACCACCATAAACATGCAGTTGAAAGTACTTTACGCGTTCTTTACTTTCAAACATAGGGATATTTTGATTCTGTTATTATCTCAGTGACTTTATACAGAAAACAAGACTCAGGATACGGCATTTCAGGACATGATATGGAGCAAAATAAGTGTAGCTTCAAAAGCTTAAAATACTGCAGTTAACTCATTATTGTGCCTAAGAATTAAGGAGGTGTTCCAATTGAGAGATGAAAATGTCATACATGTTTTCTAAGAACAAGGGCTAACATGTATAGAGTTTTCGTGCATTAGGCAACGTTAAATATCTTAAGAGAGCAAAAATCCATCACCACAAAGTGCACAACTGTGGACCACTATGTAAATGTCCTGGCTGCTAAATCAAAATTATAATAAAAATGGCAAGTGTACATACATGTGCAGGGAACAGAAACCCTTTATAGTTTATTGGTGAGAAAAAACTCTAGCAATTGCAAAGTGAGTTTCCAACTTTATCCCACTCACAGCATTTCAGGAGAAAAAAAGTAGCATGGAATACTGTTGTCAAGCAATTATAATCCCATATTTTTAGAAAGTTACATTATGGCAATCAATCATCAACCCTCTCAATTTTACTTGTCCTTTCATCCCTTAGGCTCTTCAACAGTAACTCCGAACTGGCTGCCCAGCCTGCATATGCATTTGCTGTAGTTGTGCATTCATGTTTGATGACTGCCAATGTATAACAAGTTATTATCATTCATGCACAAAATATTTCCTTTATGATGGGGATAACTACACGAAAATAATAGAAACTGTTTTCTGTTCATTTCCCATTATTAAGCTTCGCAACATTTTAGAAACCTATTTATACAGGGGGCCCAAAGCATGGACAAGAGTGCAAATCTCCAGAAAGGGAAGACTACCTAAGCAGCCTCTACTGGCTCTAACAAAAATTAAGAGTACATGGTATATGCAAGTAGCTATCTGAAAAGAATAGCAAGAAAATCATCAGATTAAGTAATAACTTGATTTCTACTATCATGTATCAGTTAAGACACTGTTTTCTAACATCTGGTGTTATGTGAGAATGCTAGACAATAATATTATCTATAAACTCTGTTTCATGCATAACTTCCTAAGATATGTAATGCCCTCCAGAATAATTTACTTTCTGAGAAAACTTGATGAAAGTATTTGCTCTGGTGTCATCATGTAAAGGACAGCTTACAAAAATCCCAGTGGCTTAAGAACGTATACCCAAAGATTAGCCTTTTAGGAACCTTGCCAGGAAACGTCCATAGTTTTCCTTCTGCATAAGGAAGGAAGGAGCTGGTCAAATGGACAGGTGAAAAAGCTTTCCACTGACTGATCATTTTATTTTAAGCTCAGTGAAAACCAATCATTATCCAGACAATTCAGTGCTCCTACTCTTTTAGGCTGTTATCAAAAATGGGTAGGAAAACCCTCAGAATTTCATCAAGTTCCAAAACATAAAAACTTCATTTAACAGTCTGACTTAGGACTGACCATGTGGGGTTAGCCCCAGCTGCAGACTGCAGTTGCTGCTAGTACATCCTTAGCTAGCCATTTAAACCAAGGTCCTCTGTTTGGTGGTCTCTTTCAATCATGTTTGTCAGGCATCTAGCAGAGCATAAGAGTGCTTTCCTGACCTCTGTGTACTTCTGGAATGCAAACAACAGAAACAACTTTGCTCACAAATGACTTAAAATTCCAAGTTTTCACAGATCGCTCAGGAGCGCAACTATTAAACACCGAAAGGAGGAGAGACATTCTGCTGGCTTTCTTCATCGGGAAGGTGTCTTTGCCAGCAAAATCATTTGTGGTAGCTAACTGCGTGTGACATTTGCCTGGAATACGATTAAAGAGATCCCTGCAGGAGACCAGGTTAAAGCTTCAATCTTCCACCTTTACCCTGCAAAGATAGAATTGTTTGAAAAGAAGCTTTTCTGGGGCTGTTTTTTCAGCA